TTACATCGCCAGCAGCATTCATCGCAGTTACGAGGGTGGTCCCAGAAGTACCCGACCTGACGTACAGATAGCGGTTGTTGTATAAAAAAAATCACTGTAGGGGAAAGCACCAACTTTCTAAAGCTTAACTATGAAGTTTGAAGACGCTACGTTGTTCAGTATTTGTTTGGCAGCCATCAATAGTGGACGATCTCGGTGAATTTACAAAGATGGAAAAAATTGGTCATCGTTATGTGATACAATACTTTCGTTTGAAAGGTCTTAGCCCAACCAATATCAAAGCCGAGCTGGATTCTACTCTGGAGGAGTCTGCTCCTTCGTTTACAACAGTAAAATATTGGGTGGCAGAGTTTAAACGAGGCCGTACGAGCTGCGAAGACGAACATCGCAGTGGTCGACCAAGTGAGGTAGCCATTCCAGAAATGGTGAAGAAAATCCACAAAATGGTATTGGGTGACCGTCGATTGAAAGTGCGCGAGCTAGCAGACATGGTAAACATTTCAAAAAGTGCTGTACATCACATATTGACTGAAAATTTGGAGATGAGAAAGCTGTGCGCAAGGTGAGTGCCGCGCTTGCTCACAATCGAACAAAAGCAAATCGAACAAAAGTTCGAATTGCTTCCCCACGCACCCTATTCGCCAGATTTAGCCCCCTCGGATTATTTTCTCTTTCCAAACTTGAAAAAATGGCTCGGTGGTAGAAGATTTACCAACAATGAAGAGGTGGAGTCTACGGTTAATGGCTATTTTGAGGAGTTCAACGGTTCTTACTATAAACTGGCCATCGAAGCTCTTGAACATCGCTGGGAAAAGTGTATCGAGCTAAAAGGAGACTATGGTTGAGAAATAAAGATATTTTTTCCCAAATATTTTGTGTTTTTTTTGTTAGGTCGGGTACTTCTGGAACCACCCTCGTATATACGACGACGGCGGTATTTTACGAATGATTTCTTTTATTTTTCCCTCCGCTTTCTCGAGAGCGGAGAGACGTTTGCAAGTGACGACTTCGCGACTTAGCTCCTGGATCCAGCTTATATCGGACTGTCTCATTCGCCATTGATAGGAGAAGTGCATGTTTCGGTACAAATATTCTAACTGCCGTTATTCCGTAGTTATCCCGACGCGGTGTATCAAGACTATTAGTGCGGTAAAATACAATATTTGAAGAAAATTTTTCTGCTTTCGAGCGTCTTCTAATAATTGAAAATTATCCGCGTGCAGTAAGAATGCGGCTTTAAAGCTACTAACAATTTGTCCCAGATTTCTTAACGTCTGCGTTTACATGACATCATGTCTGTGTATCTCCCTTTAACAATCTCTGTAAACCTTTAAAAAAATGTTGATCGGTGAGCTCGTAATCTTCTTTGAGCTCCACCGCGCGCTCTAAAAATATCCATGAGTTTTTTCCTTTGAACTGAAATCTTCATTTACACATCTAGTTGATAATTTTTGCAGATAAATTCATCCTTGGGGCTCAAAGAGGTTGTATTTGCAAATGGATTCATACTCTCGTTATTTTAAGCTGCGACAGATACGCGGCGTCCTGTTTCTTGCGGAGGCGGCGGCGATGCTCAAGTCTGGAAATTCCTCAGTTTTTCATTCACGAAGGTACTCGGACGATGATGCAGCTCGTCTAACATACCCTCGGTATTTAATTTGTGGATTTCTATTTCAACAATAATCTCGCTCTTGGTCAGTGCGTATATCCAGGATTTCGGCACAGTGTTCATCTCTTTCTTCCGGACAGATCCCTGTTCGGGCGCCATGAAACAACCTAACTTTTAAACTCGTCGATGATTTTTTGATTCGGTAGCATAAAAGAAGTTTAGGCTTGGAGAGGAGATACAATTACAAATCAACGAAAAATTATAAAATAAAATAAAACTTAATTTATTTGAAGTATATGTATGATTACAATAAATGTGTGCGTGCTGCGTGCGTGCGGTCGGGCGGGTTGGCATGTGTGTCGCTGTGTTATATCATAATGTGTGTACGTGGAGAAGCGGCACGCGGTCTAGCGCGCGATGTTTTGGTCGGCGTGATGCGACGCTGAGCGCGGACAGCGCGGAGCGCATCTCAGCTGTACTATGTATCTTTATGTTGCCCGACTATTCGACGGTCTCGGCGATCATATTTATCGCTTTGACTGTGAACGTAATCGCTTCCGAGGGCTGCCAACCTATCGCTAGGTCCAGTGCCTTATCCAGCCTTTTTGCGTTCCTCTTTGAGGAGGGCCTCTGTGTCAAAAATATAGATCAGTGGATAGTTATTGTCTAATAAAATGTTGGTTTTGATTGGTACTGTAAGCCGACCTTTTCAGGATGGATTCTGAATTTTAGTTCTAACCATCCCATGACACAAAAGAGAGGGACGATTCTTTCGCTGGTTGACAGAGCTTTTTTACTATCAGACTTTAAGTTTTATACACAAAATTTGACGTTTATTATTAACATTTTATTAGACAATGACTATCCACTGACCTACATTTTTGACACAGTCAATCGATGTATAAAAAATTTGATTAGAAATAGACACATAACACATAGAGTTTTGGCTGACAATGTCGGGACGAGTGAATCTGTTTCTTGGCTTACGGTACCATTCATTCCGTTCCACATGAAAAAGTTCAAACGTTTCAATAAAAACGACATCAGAATATCTTTCCGTAGTCTCAATAAATTGAACAAATACATCAAAGTACAGAAAGATATTTGTCCACATACATCGAAGAGCAATGTGGTCTACAGGATTTCGTGTGGTGATTGTGATGCTTCATACGTGGGACAGACGAGCAGGAAATTAAAAACCAGGATTGCTGAACATCGCAATCACATTAGATACAACACTTCTGGGCGTTCTGTCATAACTGAGCATAGGAGACAGCTGGATCACGAATTCCAATGGGACGAAGTCGTAATTTTAGACGAGGAGCCTTGTTATCGGAGACGTTTAGTTTCCGAGATGCTTAATATCAGGAAGCAGAAGAATGATCTCAATTTACAAACTGACACCGATGGCCTCCACAAGGCTTATATTCTCATCATAGATAAAGTTTGACTTTCTGATACTAACAGTCCGTCTCCTCTCTCAGTCTGTTTTGATCCGCACTACTGAACGTACATAGTAGCCGACGCGTAATGTCTGTCTTACACATCTGCGTTCTTTCTTTCGGTATATATTCCGAAAGTTTTTTATTCCTTTTTGGACACACTCGTTTGAATTTTTTTACACATGATTTCTGGTGAGTTCTGATTATATTTTTTTATTATTTTTTATTAGATTTCCGGTATGTTAATTCATTTACGCGTAGATCTTTTTGTGTAAAGTTTTTAAGTTTTTCTTTTTATCAACTAGAGTTTTGCCAAGATTTTTTTAATACATTTGACGGTTCAATCGTACGGAAATAATGCCGAATTCTACATCAAGACTCATCCGAACTGTGAATGTTATGAATATGCGATCATTTGCGATAATTGATTTTGTTCTGTGATTTTTTCGTTATGTTAATGTCTGAAGAGGGCTCAATCCGATAACCGAAACTTGTAACGTTATGTAATTTTACCTTTGTTAATTGAAATATATTCTTTTGTTAATTTCAAAGAAACGTGTTGATTCTTACTTTGCCCGTTATTTATTATTATTTGGTTTGTATAGAACGAGTCCTTTGATTTGTTACTTCTTTTAGTTGAGGTTAAAAGAAAGTTTTTTAAGCTAATAAACTTTAAGACTGCTTTTGCACATTTTTTTTACGTACGATAAGTAAAATTTTGTAGGGAATTAAAAAACCTTTTGATTTAATTATTGGTATTTTTTACGTAGATGTAGCCGAATCCGAGATATTTACATAAAACATTAAAAAATAAGTTTTGTTCAAAAATAACAGGAAATATTTTTTAAATATCGTATTTCGGAAACTATTGTATGATCGTATATGAGTAAAAAAACAATTTTATAGAGAATTCAGTAAAACTTATTTGATAAGAGGTTTGTACGTAAAAGTAATCAAATTTGAGATATTATCGAAAAAAGTGAAAAATTGTTTTATTCTTGAAATTATTAAAAATATTCTTTAAAAAAAATTTTGTTTTCATTCTATCATGGAAAGTATTGACGCACGACCTTAAAAGAAAATGAAATTGTGTGTAATTTTGCCAATTTTCTTTTTGATAATGATTTTTATTTTGATAAAATGAATATTTTCACAGATATATTTAAAAAACCAATTTTTTAAAGCTGAAATGTTTCTCAAGTTCGTTGATGGTCAGGACTTTTAATATGCTATTATATTATGTCATTTTGAACAACTTCTCGCAAACAAATTTTTTTATGGCAATTTTACCTCCAAAATCTAATTTTCCTGAGCTCACTTGTTCAATTTTTATTTTTGTGATATTTTATTTATTGAAACTTAAAATACGAAGCGCCTTACCGGTCCGAGTGTTAAGATGTTGAACTACTATATATTTATTTAAATTGAATTAATTTTTAGAAATAAATTGTGACCCGATGAAATTATCGGATTCACACAATCAATCTGAAACAAATAATCCCCCCAAAAGTTCCCAAATCTTAAAAAACTGTAATAAACTTATTGCGAAAAATATTGCCTCAGCCGGGAGTCGAACTCGGATCTCTTGCATTCCGTGCGAACGTCCTAAGCCTTTAGACTATCGTAACTCACACGGAATGCAAGAGATTCGGGTTCGACTCCCGGCCGAGGCAATATTTTTCGCAATAAGTTTATTACAATTTTTTAAGATTTGGGAAATTTTGGGAGGATTATTTGTTTGAGATTGATTGTGTGAATCCGATAATTTTATCGGCTCGCAATTTAATTCTGAAAATTAATTCAATTTAAATGAATGTATATTATATAGTAGTTCAACATCTTAACACTCGGACCGGTAAGGCGCTTCGTATTTCAAGTTTTAATATAAACGGTCTCGTTTCCAATCATATTGTTTTATTTATTGAATATCTTGTTTTTCGTTTTTTCAGCAGAGAACGAACAGGGAATAGGTGATTGGTCAGCCAGCTATAATTCGTATACCGACTGTGGCGATGTTAATTCCGTACAAGTATGTTTATTTTAAGTTCGTTTATTCCTAGATTAATTTTTTTTCAATAGTTATAGCAAAACTGTAGCTGTAGGAATAGCTCTTTGAAAGAATTGCTTAGCCTATACAGGAAAGCCGCTAATGATGCTAAAACAGTGCCATATTTTGAGATAAGGAATACAATGAAAAATAATGAATTGTAAGAATCTTAATCAAGAAATATTTGTAAAATTAAAAAAGTAGATTTTCGCCCTCTAAAGGTTAATAAAAATTAAAAATAAAAACTTTAATTTTATATTAAGGAATCTTACGACTTATCTATTGAATACCATGATATACCACATTTCAAGCATTACATGAATATATTAATATAAATTTAATTAAAAACCTATAATAAACTTATTAAATATATTTTACTTTTTGTTTAAATATATTTTACTTGTACAAATAATTTATATGTATCAATAAATAGTTTAATGAATATTTTGAATTAAAAATTTTAGTATATAAAAACTATTATATTGTAATGTTTTTATTTTTTGATAGGAAATGATAACTTAATCAAAATATATTTAATCTAATACAAATTGCATTAGATTAGAATTGCATTAGACTAGAAATACTTTTATATAGCTACTTGCTATTATATTTTTCTTGTTTTGTCAGAAGATTTTGATAAAAAAACGGAGAATAATTATAGTTTAGAACAAGGATCCAACATCGCTCTAGTCGTTGCCGTTGATAATAAACAATTTCTTGCGCAATCATGACTACTGAGCAGCTGTTTCTTATCGCGCGCTTAAATTTGGCGATAGGCCGGACTTATTCGGTGATTTTTAGTAATTAATTTTTCGTTTATTGTTGTGAAAGTTGCAAAATGATGCAGGACTTTTGGGTCGGTATTCAGTCGATTTTTGTATTTGAGACTGTCTTAAGTACAGTCTTAAGATGTCATAAACCAAGAGTGCTGCATCAGCATCTTATGATATTACTTAAGATATTTCTTAAAATAAGATTTCTTAAAATAAGAACGGACTATGAATATTGCCCTTTGACTTAGTTTAGTGTGCTTGGTGTGCTCTACCTGCACACGAGCGCTGTGTCAAGAATTAGGGGATTTTAGGTCGCATTCGAAAATGCTACCCGAGTACTTTTGAGTATTATTTTATCCTTGTTTGTAACATTTGGTTAACACAAGGATAAAATGATACTTGTGGACATTTGAGTAGTTTTCGAATGCAGACTGGGACGTATTCGGATTTACACTCGAATGCTCCCTGGGTATCATGTTGTTCATTTAACGTTCGATAAATAACAAAGATGGAGTGATTCCTGGGTAGCATTTGGGTAGGAATCTGAACCTGTATAGTCGCTTGAATGTCCTTATTTCATATTTATTATTTCATATTATATTTTCAAATCTTATTAGCAACAAAAATCCATTAATTCGGTTGATCATTTAATAAATATATATGTTCCAAATTTATTTTTATAACCGGAAAAACGAATATTTAACTAATAAAAGAACTTCCTCCAGTATCACTCTGATTTTGATTTTGTCTTTATTAGTAAAGTATCCATGCTTTGGGAAAAATCCTCAATCTCAATTGTTTTAGAGATATTGTGGAAAGGAATGATTTTTTCATGCACAAAATTCGTTCTACTTTCGTTACTAAATATACTTTCGTTAATAATAAACTGATGAAATTTGATACATTAGTATATACCATGAAAAACGTCTTGCAATCATAGTCGTATGCACATAATCAAAGTTATTATTCTTTGATATGCTGTCTTTAAGAAGCTATTTTTTTTCAATGTGTACATGATTTTTGGAAGTAAACGTAAATAAAGTAGGTACTGTTCAAAATTTTTGTTATTAAGAATTGGAAAGAGATAAGAAAGAAGTTGAACCTCGATTAAGAATTAATCGTGAATTGTGGAACTGGACCTTTTCTCTCTTCAGCCGTGTATAGACTCAATTAACTTTCTATATCTTAATGAAATATCGCAATAGTTATGAAACTTTAGTTAAGTTAGAACTTTATCTCACTTTTTGTTATAACCTTTCATTTTGTAAGAACACGCCAATAATGCTTCTTAATTAATAGTCATAAAGTCAAAATATTATCAATAAAGTCCATTTTTCTTTTGGAATTCTTCGATTACTAGTGAGAAATGGTGAAGTCAATTAATTAAAATCATCAATGTTTCAGAATCAACATACATCTACATTGTTTTTGACTCTGGAACATTGATGATTTTAATTAACTGACTCTACCATTTCTCGTTAGTAACCGAATAATTGGTTTCCAAAAAATAAATGAACTTTATTGACATACTTCGATTTTTTACAACAAAATGAAAGATTATAATAGAAAATGAGATAAAATTCTCGTAATTACGATATTTCATTAAGATATAGAAAGTTAATTGAATCTATACACGGCTGAGGAGAGTTAAATAAAGCTTGAAACAAATTATTATAAGAACAAAGGACTTTTAATTTAACCAACAATATTGAGAGTGTACAGGGCACTTAAGAGTCAAATATTGTATAACGAAAATTTTTTTTTTAAACTTAAACGAGAAGTATATATAATATAATATTCTATAATTAATTAAAAATATAATATGTTTCGGTCTCACGATTGAGCCTTCTTCAAATATGCATACAGGAGATGTTACATTGGATGAGAGACTCAC